TGTCGATGGGGCGGAAGCCAGGTCCAGAGGGGCTTCCTCAACGAAGGCTGCGTGTGTATGTGAGTGCAGTCACTGATCCACTCAATGAGGAGTTAGCCCAGCCCAGCACTGTGGAGAATTCAAATGTATTCAGGGCTTTCAAAACCAAGTGCACCAGCAGGAAGTCTGTCGCTGTGTAGGCAGACAGCGTAAGAAATGCACGCTGCGTGCGGTGGGGTCACAGGCTCCCACGCCAGGGGGGAGGGGGGAGGGCTACCACTCACTGCGAACTACTTGGCAGCTTGGGCTTGGCAGCAGCCCTGCTGAAAGGGGTAGACAGTCACCACGTCCTTTGGTGCAGCGGAAGGTCCAAACTGGCCATGCGGCTGAGAGAACACCTTGGAGCCTCTGCTGGCTCCGTGGAAATGTTATGTCTGAAAGCCATGCCAGGATTCCTGACACCCAGCACCCAGTTCACACCCAGTGTGGACAGCTTCCATCTCAGTGAATTAAGATGGAGGATGCTTGAGTTGTGGAGTCACACCCACCTACACTAGGGCTGGGCTCACTAACTGCAGACACCAGAAGAGAGACTAGACCCCTGCCCCGGAAAAAAGCTTTGTTCTCCTGGAGTGGAGGATGAGGCAGCCTTGACACACAGTTGCTCCTCCAGAGTGCAGACCAAGCGCACAAGGTCCATGAGGCAACAGATGGACAGTATAAATGGGTATCACTCTGCTGATGATATTTTGCCCCTTGTTTAGAAATAGCCTTGCCAGGAGGTCTCCTGTGTATGTTGGACAAGAGAAGTTATGATTGATACATGAGGTCCCTCAAGAATCTGATTCCCCACTGGTACCAATGGAGTCCTATAGCTATGGCAGGTGGTTCTAGATGACCCCAGTATTTAGTCACTGGATGTCACTGCCCCAGCTGTTGCATGGAGAAGGACTGACAGGCTTTGAGGGAGATATCACCAGTTCCCTGCTTCACCATATCTACAATAGCTTAGGAAGTCACTGTGGGTCTGAGTCCCCATTGCCCAGCCCGTGTGCAGTCACTGACCCCCACGCATAGCTCAGAATGGTAACATGTTCTATTCCCTTTGCATGGATGTGAAGGGCTGCTCACCGGGCAGGGGAAAACAAGCCCTGTGGACGCCAACAGAGAATAGCACTACTTCTAGGCACAGGTACTAGACACGTCGGGGATTTGCTAAATATCCAGTGGGCCCAGCTCTGAAATGGGTATTTGGGGCCACCATAGATCAATGGGTATTTGGGGCTATCACTGCACCCTTCCTCATGGTGGCTAGCACTTACTCACCCAGGAACCTCATGGGACACAATGGCTGTGCGAGGATGCAATACTCAGTGGAGCCAAAGGCTGCAAGTTTGGCCCTTTACTTGGCCCTGCTAAAGCTTCAGGTGCTGTGTGTCCTGGTGAAGTGACAATCTGAGGGAATGTGAGGGGGAAGAAGCAAAAGTGGCAACTGGGAGAAGGGACTCCCAGAAAAACAAAGGAAAATAATTAGGGCTGAAATCTGTCAAGAGAGCATCTTTGGGCGCCCTCCCTTCTTATACTTAACATTCAGCCAATCAGCTGCTTACCAAGAACTTCGTATCCAGCTGTACTTGAAGTTTCCTGCTCTCTACCTTCTACTTGTCCGCCAAGCCATAGGACCTGGGGCTGTGCTCGTTAGCTTTCTCAAGCTATATATGGTCAGTTGGCAGATGGGCAACTCCAACAAAAATTCAAGGCTTACCTGAAGTGGCACTGGTGATTTAAGAGCAGACATTCCCCTGCCCCCGCGCGCACACACACACACCTACATCTGAGCCAGTGGCAGCTGAGGGCACCAAGTAGCTAGCTGAGGTCATGACCTGCTGGGGTAATTAGAAGTCTTCTGACACTAATTACAAGGGTTAGAATAATGCTAGTGTAATGTGTGTGTGCATGTGCGCCATGATGTCTCAACCAAACTTCCCATTTCGGAGGTTGCATTCTGACTGCCTAAATCTCCTCTTCACTAAAACCAAAAACATTTGCTGTCCTAATCCAGGGAAACTGAATTGAGCCAGCACTGTGTGTGTTGCGCTGACGCTGCTGTCATTAGCATTTGAAAAACAGTACCCAGCCCTTCTGATTGGGAAATAAACCTTTCCAAATTAACATGGTATTACACTGATGCCACTGCCAAACCTCAAAAGAATAAAAGTGTCAGCATGACCTTTCCTGGCATTTCAGGAGCCATTTACTCACCCCCCTGCAGAAGTGAGGCCGGGGAGCACTGCTATATGAGGGAGAGGGAAGACCAGGCTGAGCTGAAGGGCTGTCTTACAAAGTCTGCAGAAAAGCAGACCCACTAGCTCCAATGTGTATCATCTTGCCCATCCATCTCTGTTGGGGTTGATAATGAAATCTAATGATGACAGGTTAAATCCTATTAGCAGTGTTGTTGTAGCCGTATCAGTCCCAGGATATGAGACAGACAAGGTAGGTAGGTGATATCTTTTACAGAACCCCTTCTGTTGGTGGAAGGGACATGCTTTCGAGCTACACAGAGCTCTTCTTCAGATCTGGAGCATTTTAGCAGAAACACCCAGATGCTCTGTGTTTGTAGGGGCAGCCTGCTAAGACTGCTGTTACTGCTTTCCCCCTGCAATCTGATCCCTGAGAGTATTTGCTCTCCATGGGGCTGTTTCCCAGCAGGGCTGAAGTTGATAGCTACAGGTAGATAAAGTAAATGGCACCTGTAGATAAAGTAAAAACAACAGAAGTCTGGTGGACTGTTGGCACCTTAAAGACTACGGGACTCCTCGTTGTTTTTGTGGATACAGACTAACATGGCTACCCCTCTGATATGCAGATAAAGTAGAATCTATGGAATTCTTTGGGTTGCTTTGGAGTGAACGTGCTGTAGGAACGTCAGATACTATGTTGTTGTTGTTAGGCTCCCAGTGATCAGACGCACCCAAATTCACAGAGTGGGGCAGGCAAGAATAGCATCTCCCAGCCCCTCATTACTTTGTTAGGAGCCGGTGCTCTCCTTCACCCCAGCTACAGACAGCAACTGCAGAGCTGTGCCTGGCCTCAGCAGAAGAGAGAGGAGCCTGAATTCAGCCCACCAGATCTTCCCCAGTGTGTGCCCAGACACTAGCTGTGCTCAGTGCGCTCAGCCATGTCCACAGGCAGCCATGTTGTTCCCAAGATGGCCTTGAGTGACAAAGCAGACAGCGTGCTCTGAACCCTGACCCTCCAAGTCCAGAAGCATTCCCTCCCATACGCTCCCAGCCACCACTGACCCAGAGTGCCAGAGGCGCAAGATCATTCTCGAAGCTGGACTCTGACAGGACAGGGCACGCCCCCATCTGGGGCATGTCCCTCTTCCCTTTGTCTAGGAGGATAAGGTCGTACAGACCATGGGCTGTGAGCCATTTGACCTTTTCAGCTCAGGTGGTAGGGTAGGCTCAAACCACAGAATAGCACTACACACCCTCCCTCTTTCTCCTAACACGCAACAAATACACACATGCTGCCAGCCCTACCATGACAGCAGCACAGCCTCGAAAATCTGCAAAATGGCCGACACCCAGCCATGGCTTCCCAGCCAAACTCTCTGCCCAGCCCCTTGAGATTTTGGAAACAGGCTGTTTCCAAAGGAGAAATGAAGACCTCTCCCTGGTGAGTAACATCTTCCCCCACGTGCATCAGATGAGAACATCCACCACGGCTGCACTGCTAGGGACACTGCATTCCACCATACAGGGTGGCTCTAACATGCACATCCATCCGCAGCTTCCCTTGAACATGCTTATTCGTCAAAAAGCCCTTTGGTCAGTGCCCCTACAACATTCCCACAGCAAACTGAACGTGGAATGCAGATAGACAAGTCAACAAGTAATCCCAGAGACAGACCTGGACAGCGAGATGGACATTTTGATTACACTCTCCCTGCCCCATTCTGCCTCTCTGGAAAATGCCATTTCTCCGAAGGAGCCTGGTTTGCAATTGAACCTAGGCACAGGGTGCTGCTAGATCCCATAGCAGCCTGGATCCCATGGCTTCTGCCCACTGGATGGCAGCCCCAGACCCAGGCCCCATGACTCTGCATTCTCCCCATCTCTATGCCACAAACAGGGTGGGGTGATGGCTAGAACTGAGGCATGGCTGGCTCCTAACCCTCCTCGCTGGATTTCTTTCTGGGATACATGCAGCAATAGAGCAATGGTGGTAAATAACAGGGAGCACACAGGGCTGAGGCTCTGCCCAGGATGAGAGAGGGAAAGGGGATCAGGAGAAAGGGCTGTCAGAGAAGAGCCAGGGGAAACTGCCATCCCTATTATTTACGCGCAGATCCCAGCAGAATTCACTAGCCCAAACCCCTGCCTCAGGGACAGGCACTTTGGATACGGCAGGCAGGTACACACGGCCCGAGGGAAGCATCCGGGGAGCAGGGGAAATGCTGGGAAGCTACATGGATTCCTGATGAGCAAGCAGCAATATTTATTTTTTACCGGAGAAGCAATATTCTCCCCCGCCACACTCTGCATCTCCAGCCTTGCGTGTTTTCCACTCCTGCCTCACCAATCTCCTAGGATTATACCCTCCCCACCACCATCTCCCTGGCTACTCCTATTCTCGCCAAGGGTGGCGAGGAACCAGTCGTACATCAGCTGATCCACCCCTGCTCCCCGCACCCAGGGAGGGCTTGCTACGTGTTTGTTTCACCTGGGTGGGGCAGGATGATCTCATCAGGCTTGCCTCTCCCCCTACTGCCCCAACCCCGCAGGGGGTCCAGCCCAGCGACAGGGCAGGGTCCATGGCCCTAGGGGGTGCAGAACTCCAGCGCAGGGCGCTGCAAACCTGCTCCATTGTTCTCCCCGCAAGGGAGCGGGGGTCTGACCCAAACGCGTCCGCCCAGGCTGCTGCCCAGGGGTGAGGAATCCCAGCGGCAGCTGCTGGGGTTCCCGCCCCTGCCCAATGCACCTGCCGGGCCTGGGACGGGAGGATGCTCTTACCTCGGCCGCGGCTCAGCGGCTCCCCACGATCGGCGCAGACACCAGCAGGCTGCACCCAGAGCTCTGAGAGCTGCTCTGCGCCGCCGCCGCGCCTGGCTGAGGGGTACGCGGCCCGCCCCTGCCCCTCGCTCGCTGGTTGGCTGCGCTGGGCGCCCAGCCCGCGAGCGGGGGGCCGCTGGGTGACATCACGGCTGGGGCCGGGCCGTCACTGCGGCAACTGGGGGGAGCGATCCCGAGGCACACAGCTCCCACACCCAACCCTGCGCTCGTGCACCGACCAGGCACAGCACCCCATAATCTCCCGAGACCTGCCGCCCCGTCCCCAAATCCTGCCACACCGCACCGCCCCCGAGACCCCCAGCTCACAGCCGTCTCCCCAACTCCTTCCCCTCTGCGATCCCCAGCCCGCAGCCCCCACTCCAACTCCTGCCCCCTCCCCCACAGCGCACAGCCACAGCCCTGTGTGGAGTCCCCCCACAGGACCCTCAGCCCCATCCCCAAGCCCTGCCCCTCCTAAGGATTCCGAACGCAGCAGCCCCCACCCCAACACCTGCCGCCCCCCAGGATCCCTCAGCTCGCAGCCCCCACTCCAAATCTTGCCCCCACAGACCCACAGCTCAGCAACCCTCACCCAAATCCTGCCCCCCTCAGCCCTGCAGCAGGCCCACCCCGCCAGTCACATTCCCCACAACAGCTGCACCTGCTGGAGCCCCAGCATAATTCCCGAAGACCCTCAGTCCAGCAGATCTCGCCTGCTGTCCAACCCTCCAGGGAGACAGGGATGGTCTTGCGCCCCCCCCCCCCGTCCTTAAAGGAGAAATAACCTCAAAGACACATAGCTGTGTTGTTAAAAAGATGCCTGTATGTAGGGAGCAGCATGGTCCAGTGGATGGAGCACTGGGTTAGGACGCAGGAGACCCGAATTCTGTTCCCAGCACTGCCACCCATCTGTTGTGTGACCTTGAGCAACTCCCCCTTTCTGGGCCCTCTGTCTCCCTGGAGTATTTAGGCTGTATGCCCTGCCCTGAAGAACTTGTCTCTCACTATGTGTACAGCACCGAGTGCAATGGGGCCTCTAGGCCCCAGTGTGATATAAACAATACTTTTTTTGGTCTGCTCATATGCCTTCCCTTCTCTACCTCCTCTCTTCAAGTGTCATCACCTCACCCTTACCCCGAACTCTCTACTTGAATTCCACCTTGCCAAAATCTTTGACCTAGTCTCCATCACATCCCCCAATCTCTGATGCCCACCTACTTCTGTGTGCACTGTTTCAGTGCCTTCTTCCATACCACTCCCATCCACCCCATAACTCCTCTCTCTTCATTCTCATCCTTTCTAATGATTCACCTCATCCATGTTGCCTGGGAAAAGTGAGTCAAAGGGAACCACTAGTAGGAAATAAGGCTCATGCTTTTAAAGTTCTACTCTAAGAAGTGATTAGGTAGAATAGCAGTTTTACCCACCAGATCTGCTCTGGGACTGGTTAAGAGGCAGATCTGCTGACTCTAGCCACTAAAATACATTTTCCTCCTGCTTTTCACCCTGCACAGGCTAACCCATGTAAGAGGGAGACAGCTGGATTCTGTCCTCTCTTGTGAATAACCAAGGGCCAGATTGTGAACCGTTGGCCCCAGTGGGATGTATATTCGCTTGAGTAACTACTCACTATGGTAAGGAACATCCTAAACTCCACCCAAACAGGGTGGGACCCAGGCCACTGAAGCATGGTAGATAATGGGGTCCCACCAGCCCAGCCTGCAGAACAGGGGATGGTGTGTGTGACACCCTAGCACCCCCTTATTCACCACTGTCATATAATTAGGATAAGTTTTGTACAAAGTATGCATTGTGAGGTATCACTGTAAAAGTCTTGATCTGCTAAACATTAATATCTCATTGGATTTTATGTGCTATCATCGTATGTGAAGATATGAAGTTTGGCTGTGTAGGTGTTACTGAAACGTGTAACCATTCTACCCTTCAGTCAAAGTTGGCAACAACAAGGGCTGGGTTCAATATCTAGGGGTTCCTTTTCAACAATACATCACAAAACCGGCTAGAGCTCCCACCCAGTGACCTGAGACAATTATACATCACCCCCTGGGCGCCTCTGAGAGGCAACGCTTCCCCTCTTGCAAGCACAGATTTTTATTTAAAAAAATTTAATAAAAGAGGGTAAGTAACTCAGCATTACTGTGGGAAAACACTACAAACCGTTCACAAACATAAACCATGAGCAAAAGACCCACCCCTAAGTAAGTTAGACAGTGTCCTTGTCCCCTCAGGTTCTTAAGTCCAGCAACCAAAAGTCTCTTTAACATGCCCATTCTGCACCCCACTCACAGTTGCTGTCCTTGGTCAGTGCAGCCCCAGAGTTCCAAGATGAATCTGCACAGTTCACCTTTCACCCTAAGTGTGTGTGTGTGTGTGTGTGTGTGGGGGGGGGGGGGGAGGCTGGGTAAGAAGGCACCTTACTCGCTCACCACACCTCTCTTCCAGGCTCTGTTCTACTCCACTCCTCTCCACCAGCTGCCCTTTTGGCCAATTGCCACACCTCTCCACCAGCTGCCCCGCTGGCCAATTGCCGTGCCTCTCTCTGCAGGGCTCTGCTCTGGCCCCCTGCGCCAGCTGCCTTACCAACCAATTGCCACATCAGATGCCCTGCTAGCCAATTGCCATGCCTCTCTGCAGGGCTCCACTCCGGTCCTCTCCACTGCCTACCTTGCCAGCCAATAGTCAGTTTCCACTGACTATGCTACCAGCCAATTACTGAGATGTCTTCAAGTCCCACCACTTAATACAGCTCTCAATAATTTCAGCTGTTAGTGGGGGAGCCTCCCTGCTAGTGCACACTGTTAGGATATAAAAAGAACAGGAGTACTTGTGGCACTTTAGAGACTAACACATTTATTTGAGTATAAGCTTTCATGGGCTACAGCCCACTTCATCGGATGCATAGAATGGAACATATAGAAAGAAGATATATATATATATATATATATATATACATACAGAGAACATGACAAGGTGGAAGTAGCCATACCACCAGTAAGAGGCTAATTAATTAAGATGAGCTATTATCAGCAGGAGAAAAAAACTTTTGTAGTGATAATCAAGATAGCCCATTTAGACAATTGACAAGAAGGCATGAGGATACTTAACATGGGGAAATAGATTCAATATGTGTAATGACCCAGCCACTCCCAGTCTCTATTCAAACCCAAGTTAATGGTATCTAGTTTGCCATATTAATTCAAGCTCAGCAGTTTCTCGTTGGAGTCTGTTTTTGAAGCTTTTTTGTTGCAAAATTGCCACCTTTAAGTCTGTTACTGAGTGGCCAGAGAGGTTGAAGTGTTCTCCTACCGGTTTTTGAATGTTATGATTCTTGATGTCTGATTTGTGTCCATTTATTCTTTTGCATAGCGACTGTCCGGTTTGGCTAATGTACATGGCAGAGGGGTATTGCTGGCAAATATCACATTGGTAGATGTGCAGGTAAATGAGCCCCTGATGGTGTGGCTAATGTGATTAGGTCCTATGATGGTGTCACATGAAGTGAGCTGTAGCTCACAAAAGCTTATGCTCAAATAAATTGGTTCATCTCCAAGGTGCCACAAGTACTCCTTTTCTTTTTGCGAATACAGACTAACACGGCTGTTACTCTGAAACCTGTTAGGATATAGATGTTCAGGCCTGTCTGCAAAGGCCTATACTCTAAGAATTTAGGTGTATTCTTATCACTTAGCTAGTTATCAAGGTATAAAAGAAAGAATTAAAATCACTGTTTGCCTGTGTAAGGGCCTTTTTTTTTTTTTACTGTAACAGTCCGAGGCCTTGTTTTTAGGCTAAGGCCTTTGGCTAAGCAGCAGAGGCAGCCATAAGCTGGGAAGTGTATGGTTACATTCTTAACATTCCAAACCAGTCACATTGAAATAAGGTGCTATTGGGCTGTTAAGAATACAATTTTGTCCTAATAATATTTATTACCTATCTTCAGAGAAAGGGAAGAGCCTAGAAGATTTAAAGGAAACTTAGTTTGATAGCATTCTCTCTGGCAAGAACTTACTTATTAATAGCTAGGGTGTGAAATTCTTATTTTTTTGTTGTTTTATCACTGTAGTCCCCATTTCCCTATTGTTTGTCTGTATAATCTTGGTCTGGTTTTGTAATTGTTTTTGTTTGCTGTTTAATTAATTCAGCCCACTCCTCCACTCCTCTCCACCAGCTGCCCAAGGGTGTAAACCAATTAAGGTGGTGGGATATAACTGGTTAAATAATTATGTTACAATATGTTAACACTGGTTAGTTAAATTTCAGTAAAATAATTGGTTAAGGTATAGCTAAGCAAAACTAAAGTTTTACTATATATTTTGCAGTTAATCAGGAAGTAAGGGGAGGAATGGGAACAGGGAATGGGGTGAAGAAATTGGAAGTTTGTTTTTCTGGGGGTGGGGATGGGAACAGTGAATGGGAACAGGGACACAGGCAAGGCTCTGTGGTGTTAGAGCTGGGAAGGGGAACACTAAGGAAGGAAATTGGAATCATTACTTGCTGGTAAACCCCAATAAACATTAAATTGTTTGCACTTTCGGACTTTGGGTATTGTTGCTTTCTGTTCATGTGAGAAGGGCCAGGGAAGTAAGCGGATGAAGGAACAAGCCCCCTAACCTCTTGGTGCCGTGACTCAGATGCATCGCATCGGATAGGTGAGTGGCAACCTGTAAGTCCCGCTCCCCAACAGTCCGCTCAACTGCTTGGAGGAGGTATAGCGAACTCTCGTGATGGTGGTTATGGGTTCTGTCAAGCCAGGGTAAAGGATTTTTTGGATAAATGGATAAGGAAGAACCAGGGCCCATACCAGGTACAGGGGTCAACCTGGGATGAGATTAGAAAGGAAATGGAGGAATTGTTAGGCGACCCAGAGGGATGGGGGGTGGCTGAGGAGTCCACCCTCCCTGGTATATGGGTAGTGGAAGAAGGTCCCTGCCTATAGGGACTGGATGCCTTCCAGGGAAAGGAGGCACTTCCGTCCACTTGTGAGAGGTTTGAAGTTAGGGCAGCATTATGGGAAGCTGCCAGTAATCTTTCAAGTTTGGTGCTGCTTCAGCAAA